GCTGCTGCTGCTGCTGCTATATCGTTGCGCCAAAGCTTTTGCCGCGTTGCAGGGGCAAGACCGCGCGGCCATACACAATTGTGATTTGCTCGCGGTGGTCATCGCAAATGAGGACAGCAAAGGCCGGAAGATTCTCATAAGAATCAGGGCATTTTTGCATCATTTGATTGATTGCAAGTCGGGCGCGCAGGCGCGCGCGCGGGCGCTGCATGGCGGCGGCGCTCGATCGCGATGGTTCACCAGCCGCGGGTTGCGCGAACCGCTGCCGTGGTGCTGTCCAGACGGACTGCACCCTGATAGCATCTTGCTGCACCAGCATGAAGCGTACCGGTATTCACGACGACTAGTATAATCACGAATTGCCGTACGTGATGCGTTGCGCGCTTCACTCTGGTTGGGAGAATGGACCGCATCGGTCAGATCGAGTCCGTTGCTTGATCATCCACCGGTCTACCAGGTCTCTTCGCAATCTCCTCGACCCTTTTGCATATGCGCTCGTTCCGCTCCATGCTCGCCTTGCTGCCTCACCTTTGCTAGCATACACGCGAGGTCATCAGGCTCTCTCCATCCTGCTCGCATCCACAGCGCATCGTTGGCAGGCGATTCTCGATCGAGCCCGCCATGGTTCTAGATGTGGTGGATTGGGTAGTTGGCACAGAAAGGACAGCAAGGAGAGATCGTCGTAGAGAATCCCGTGCCACAGTCAATCGACGAGCGATCGAGCATCGCGTGCCGTCCGAGCCTAGAGCGCCAGTGCCCCGACCTACCCCCGGACCCAGCCTCTTGTTGCCCAGGCAGGCTAGCGGTAATTCTCAACCGCCGACCACTGGCTCTGACAATTCTCCGAGTCAAGTCGGTGGGCCAAGCAGCCAGAGTGGAGCAGGCAGGACAGGCACTGGCACTGGCACTGGTGGTGGCAGCACTAATGAGGGTCCAGATGGGGGATCGTCGACTGAAAGGCCTGGTAGGCCGGGTCAGGCAACATCTCCAAGCTCGAGTGATACGAGTCGCGGCAGCTCGAGCGATCCGAGCTCCGAACCTAGCAGTAGCAGCAGCCCTTCTGACCCTGGCAGCTCGAACTCCTCTCCTGCTTCCTCCTCTAATCCTGCCGGTACCGCATCGTCCGGCAACGCGCCTTCCTTCTCCGGCGACGGCAACACCTCTCCGACCACCATCAATCCTGGCACCCAACCTCCTGATAATGGTGTGTATCGCTGCTTTGCTCTTGGTGCGATGATGCTTGTCGAACAAAACGATTCGTTGGATGCTCGCATTGTGGTTTCCAATTTCCTCCTCTCCCCCCCAACCTCCCACTGACACGCTTCGCCACTCTCCCCGAACCTGTTCACTCCTGTGCACGCTTGCCTTGCCGTCCAGGGTCTACCACAACAAATCCCACGACGGATCCCACCACTTCAACCCCCACCACATCTCCGACAACCGACGACCCGCCGACTTCACCACCAGGCACCACAACTTCGCCCACAACCACTAGCCCAACGACTACCAGTCCCACCACCACTAGCCCAACCACCACGAGCCCGACGACGACGTGAGTAGTTCGCGCACATAGTGTCCCATATCTTTGGTACTCATGCTTTGAGCTCTCCTTTCTCGTCTGCAGCTCGCCAACCACTACTAGCGTGAGTGATAGGGAGTAGTGGGAGTCAGGTGACCCGTTGGACATGTGCCTTCGACTGTAGGGTTGGCCTCACACGCTGCTCTTTCTCGTCCGACTTCCATTAAATCGTGCTCTTCTTGTATCAAGCCCACAACGACGACTTCCACATCGAGCACTTCGCTAGTGAGATGCTTTCACTTCTCTGACCTCTGTAGTCGCGTAGCACTGCTCTTGCCTATCCTCGCTTGCTACCCCAAGTGACTTCTCGCTGACGTGAAATCACTTGCTTTCCTGGCAGCCTACTACCACCTCGACATCGACGTCGACGTTCACCTCTACTGCTGTAGTCACCCCCACTACAACCTTCACGTGAGTCTGCACGCTGACCGGATCCGTGTACGCTGCTCTGCTCAATCAGACGAATCTACCTACGCGAGCAGCTCTCCCTCCGGACTGCCTACCACGTCGACTCCGCCCACCACCACGTCGCAGATCGAGTCGACGACCACACGGGTCATCACTGCGCCTACAACGTCCTCGACCGGTCAAGGTACGCTCAATGGCAATCAAAACGGCGGAAGCACCGGATTCTTTGACAATGCTGGAGCGGTCGGAGGCACGTTTGCGGCTGTTGGTATCGTCGCAATCATCATATTGGCAGTGATCTTCTGGCTCTTCTACCGCAGACGCAAAGCAGCCCAGATGGATGCGGACGTTGTGGCTGCCGCTTCTGCCGCTGCTGCCACTCAGCGAACGCCATTCGATGATGATGATCCCGAGATGATAGAAGATCCATCGTATGGACAGAGCCAGCAACACTATGCAGCGCAGTACGCTGCATCTTCTGGCAGAGAGTACGAGCCCAGTCACTTCTCTGCTGGCACCCAACCTGGCTTTGCCGGAATGGGCGCGTA